CTTCCTGTAGTTTGTTGCATTTACAGATTCCCCCTGTTCATCCTTGGTCAGCTTCAACTTGGCTTCCATTGGATATTTTGAGCTGTTGCACTCTTCCATTCCTGCCAATTTTAGAATCTTCCTTGCATACCCCTGTTGTGAAAGCATAATGTTATTCTTCCCTTGATGTACTTCTATTCCTAGGTAATAGGATAGAAGTCCCAATTCACTCATGTCAAACAATTGCTTCATTCTTTTCTTGAATTCTAGAATTCCTTTCTCACTTGAGCCCGTAACTATAAGGTCATCCACATATACTCCTACAATGAGGATTAAATTGGATTTGTGTACCTTATAGATTGCTTGTTCTTGAGCACATCTGGTGAATCCTAGTCCTTTGAGTGACTGATCTAGCTTCACATTCCAGGCTCTTGGAGCCTGTCTTAATCCGTACAATGCCTTTCTGAGACGATAGATCAGATTCTCCTTTCCTTTGACCGAGAACCCAGTTGGCTGAGAGACATACACCTCCTCCTTGAGGTCACCGTGTAGAAAAGCTGACTTGACATCTAAGTGATGTACAAGCCAGTTTTCTTTTGTCGCTAATGCCAGGATTAGTCGTATAGTTTCCAAACGAGCTACTGGTGTGAAAGCATCTTCAAAGTCGATGCCGTTTTCTTGAACATACCCCTTTGCGACTAATCGGGCCTTGTGCTTGATCATGTTTCCTGTTGCATCTCTTTTCAATTTAAATACCCATTTTAACCCAATTGCCTTTCGGTTTGGTGGCAATTTGGTCAAAACCCAGGTATTGTTTTTCTCGATCGATTTTAGTTCCGACTCCATAGCTAGCTTCCAATTTCTTTCAACTCATGCTTCTTCAAATGTTGTGGGTTCATCATCGATCAACAATAGTTCTTGATATCGCTCATACAGCCTTTGCACCTCGTCTTCATCCATCCTCTCTGCATTTTGGTAAATCTCGTTGATTGAGCGAAATCCCTTTACTGAGGTGTCATCGAATGAGGTTGCTGACCCATCATCTTCATAAATTCCCGATAATTGATTTGAAGATGTTGCTCGTGACCCATCTCCAGGTGAGGCTGATATCGGCGTGTCATCAATCTGAATATCGCTTGATCTGAAATCGGGAGATCGTGTGTAATTTCTAGTCGGTGTCGCATTCACGTTATCTGGTGTTGGCTGCTCTTGGGCTGGCTGTAAATGGGTTGCTTCTTGGACTAAAACATTAGTCCAGTAAGGTGTGGTAAGTGGTTCATTTGTTAATTGCTCATTCCAGGCCAATACCTTTGACTCCTCAAACACCACATCCCTTGCAATTACAATCCTACGATTCCTAGGATTGTACAGTCGGTACCCCTTTGTTCCATCTTCTGCCCTCAAGTAAATCATGGTCTCACAATGATCGCTTAGCTTGGTCAAACCTCGCAATTTCTTGACGAAACCTACACATCCAAAAACCTTGAGGTGTGCGACCGACGGCTTTGACCCCTTCCAGACCTCGTATGGAGTCACGTCCTTGAGTGCCTTTGTTCCAGTTCGGTTCAACAAGTACATCGAGTGACACACAGCTTCTCCCCAAAATTGATCCGGTACCGTCATGGCTTTGAGCAAGGACCTTGTCATCTCCAGAACAGTTCGATTGCGCCGTTCTACAACGCCATTCTGCTGGCGCGTGTGTGGAGTCGTCAATTGGCATTGCATGCCAGCTTCTTCACAAAAATTCAAAAATTGAGTGGAGTTAAACTCACCCCCCGGTTGGTTCTCAACATTTTGATCTTATAATTGCTTTCCTTTTCAACCTGTAACTTGAATTTCTGGACCATGCCAAGAGCTTCGTCTTTGGTTTTGTTCAAGTACACCCACATGTATCGGGAATAATCATCGACAATTAGTAAAAAGTACTGATTGCCACCCTTTGTTGCAGGTGTGATGGGTCCACAGAGGTCTGGGTGTAACAGTTGAAGCGGTTCCTTAGCTCTCCATTGGGCCGCTTTTGGAAAACTCTGTCTAGGTTGCTTAGCTACCATACATCCTTCACACACCTGTGCTGGATGAGATACGAGAGGCATCCCTGTCACCATCTGCTTCCATGTCATTTCTTCCAGCATCTTAAAATTTGTGTGGCCCATACGTGCATGCCACAACCATGAGTCATCACTTATACTTATAGCTAAGCATGTGGGTTTCCCAGGTGTGAGTTTTATCTTATAAAGTATATTTTTTCACCTTTGTACCTTCATTATTAAGCAACCAGCTTCATCATACATCCTTAGAAATTCATTCTTCATTCCAATATCTTATCCCTCCTCCGTCATGTGTCCCAAACTAATTATATTGCTGTGCAAGGCTGGGATATAGTACACATCTGGAATGACGAACTGATCACCTGTCTTGCAATCAAACAGTAGAGTGCCTTTCCCTTTGATAGGAACCTTAGAGCCGTCTCCAAATCGCACTTGCCCAGTCACCTTCTCATCTAATTCTGCAAATAGAGCCTTAGAGCCCGTCATGTGGTTACTAGCCCCATTATCTAGATACCACATGTTGTTATCTTCTCTTTCCTTCAACTGGTTCGGATACACCTTCTCCTCATTCAGAAGAACCATACTTGTGTTTTCTTCTCTATGTACAGTTAACAACAAAGCGGGTCCATCTTCATCTGCAGCTAAGTTTACCTCATGATCTTGCTGCTTCTTGGCTTTACATTCCGAAGCATAGTGGCCAAGTTCTTGGCACTCGTAACATCTTATATGGCTTTTGTCTCGTGGTTTCCGGTTGGAATTATTTGCTTCTTGACGTGAATTACCACCGAAACGCCCACCTCTTCCACGAGTCGACCCCCGACCTCACGAACTGCCTCTTCCTCCCTTGTCACTATTTCTTCCTCTTCCACGACCACCCGTCGTGTTTGACTTGCTTGGGCTTGGATGAGTTGAGGATCCCTCTGACTTTGCAAATAACAAAGTGTTGTCACCACCTGAGTTTGCCTTCCGGAGTCGGAGTCAATCCTCATAAGCCTTTAAGTGCCCAATTGGCTCCTCGAATGGCATGGACTCCATGTCAGAGCTTTGTTCAATTGAAGCCACAAGATTTATAAATCTTTCTGGGACAATGTCGAATACCTTTCTCACATTCTTCATCTTCTAGAATTGCCCCTGCACTCCCAAATTTTGAAATCATGGCCGATATCCTCCCTGCATAATCATCTATGGTCTCCGTGTCTTTCATTTGAAGTCTTTCGAATTCACTTTTCAACACCCGTAGTCTTGCTTTCTGGACTCGTTCTGCACCCACATACCGTGACTTTAGAGAGTCCCACACTTCTTTGGCTGTCTTCTTTTTGGCAGCTTGTGCCAGCATCTCTTCCGGGATCGATTGAAAGATGAAAGCTCGAGCTTGCTTGCTCCTTTTCTCGTCCACAACCACACCGGTTGGTGGCTCGATGGCATCCCATAATCCATGGGCATCTATAATGGCTTTCATCTTAATCGACCATGTGTTGTAATTTGATGAGGTTAGCATCGGGAATTGAAGAGGATACTAGCTGTCTTTGGGTGGGTTTGATGAGGATGCAACTGTCATGGCGTCGTATTTGATGATCTTGGGCATACACAAATGATCAGAACCTCAAAGCTCTGATACCACTTGTTAGTGGGTAGGGCTAATTTAGTAACAGGGGTAAAAGAGGAATGAAAAGTAGCCGAATGCTTAACGCTTTATTAAAGTGACTGAAAGCTGTTATAGAGATTGCATACAAAAATGAAGCTAAACTAAGATGCTTAAATAGGCTAAAAAATAATAGAAAATCAGAAAACACAACAACATTCTTCAACAACTCAACGTGCCTTTTTATTCTCCTAAAATACCTGGTCAACATTGACTAACAGGGTTTCCCTCACAATTTGTACCAACAGTTTAGGACCAATTTGAGTGTTCGTCCTACTATTACTCAAACTGTGGGGGAATATTAGCATATTATATTATGTGTATCTGGATATAATATCAATAGATTTGTATATATCCTTTCCTGATTTATCTTCTTTAATCAACTTTGTATTTTCCCTATATATTGGGATCATTATTCAATAATAAAAGAGGACATATATACTATATAATATTAAGCTCGTCCAAAATGGCCTCTCTTTCATGCAATTGGCTTCCAAAGTTGACACCATAGTTTTCAGAATAATTAATTGTCCTTCGTACAACAAAAACTTTGTTCGAGAAAAAACTTTAGGCTTCTTTAATCTGTACATATAATGGAGTGCGTCCTTAGGAGTTAATGGCCCCATTGTACTTCCATTACTATGGCCATAAGTTCTTTGTCACGAATAGTCTTCTTCTGCATCCTCTATGATTTCTCTCATCCATCAAACCAGAAATCCAAAAAAACCTTCTTCTATCCTCACACCTCCAATTCCTCCATCTCCAAATCCTTAAAAACCCACGTCATGATGATGAAAAAAGTTACAGGTGGATGAAGGGGGCAGGAGAGGAAACACTGATAGGGTCAATGTGATGAAGAATAGCGATGGTGGGAGTTAAACGGAGAATGGTGATGTCTTTCTAGGCAAAGGGTGGGGTAAGGTTTTTTGGTTTGTTAATTAAGATAATAATAATAATAAAAAATTATAATTTAATATGAAAGGTCAAAGTATTTCACAGGTGGCCCATATATGATATAATTTATAACACACTGGTAGCTTTGGTCTTAGCATACATAAATATTATGACCTTACACATTATATGTTTATATGGTTAGAAGTGTAACTATGATATGATTTTGATGTGAAGAACTTAATTAATAACACTAGTATGGTATAGTATTGATTTGATCTTTAAATCCCAAATCTTGTTTGTTTGTTTGTAGATTGTGTATTGATGTTCTTATTAAATCAATTTTCAGACTAGAGACAAAGATCATTGAAGAAATCGTGAAGGACATCCACCGTAGATTACATATAACCTTAAAAAGTGCTCAATCGCTATTTATTGGGATGGACTATCATATTAATTTCGTCACTTCTTGGTTGAAAGATGGATCCTCACATACGGTTGACATACTTACTATTTATGGTATAGGCGGGATCGGGAAAACATCTTTAGCCAAACATGTGTATGGGCTATATTCTTGTGAATTCGACACAAGCAGCTATATTGAAGATATCACAAGGAAATGTGATGGAAAGTTTAATGGGTTGCTAGATTTACAAGAACAACTCTACAATGACATTTCAAAAACAAGTTCAATGAAAGTTCATGATGTGTCAGTATACACCACAAAGATAGAGAAAGCACTAGCCCGTAAAAGGATCCTTCTAGTTCTTGATGATATCAGTACTCTTGTTCAGTTGGATGCATTACTCGGAAGCAAAGGTTTTCATCCGGGAAGCAAAATTATAATTACAACAAAGGACAGTTGGTTGACTGTGAGTTGTGCACTATTCAAAACAAACATTAAACCTAAGCATGTAAAACACTTCCTTGAAGGCTTACATGAGACTGAATCAAGACAACTTTTGTGTTTTCATGCATTCATGTGCAACTATCCCAAGGCAGGTTTTGAAGAGGTGTCAGATAAGCTTGTGAAGTATTGTCAAGGACATCCATTGGCTCTTGAAGTTTTGGGCAAGTCTCTACATAATCGAGATGTAGCCTATTGGGACGGGTGCATAGAAGGGCTAAAGAAAGAAACAAGTTCCCATATACATAATGTCTTGAGAATGAGCTTTGATTCTTTGCCATCCAACAATGATAAGGAGTTGTTTAAGCATATTGCTTGTTATTTTGTTGGAATAGATAGGGATGTTACTGAGACAATATTAAAGGCATGTGATATAAACACAAGATCTGGAATCACGAATCTCATTGATAGATGTCTTCTTAGTATAGGATGGGATAACGAATTGAAGATGCATCAGTTGGTTCAAGAAACAGGAAAATTCGAAGTACGTCAAGAGTCCATTGACAAACCCTGGAAGCGAAGTCGAATATGGTGTCATAAGGAGTCATTCAGAGTGTTGAAACAAAAAAAGGTGAAAGCTTATGTGTAGTTGTTGGTCTTCATATTCAAATTAGTTTTTATTATCGTATTATTATTAATTTTTGAGCGTCTCTTTTTTCATAGGGTAAGGGAAATCTTCTAGGCCTCGCCCTTGACATGCGAATGCTTGAGAAAGAGAAATTGGGTGGATCATTTGAGCTGAAAACAGATGCATTGAGTAACATGGATAGTTTGATGCTACTACAACTCAATTATGTGCTCATGAATGGGTCTTATGAGAACTTTCCTGAAGAATTAAGAAGTTTGTGTATGCATGGGTTTCCTTTGAAGTCTATACCTTCTGGCTTACCTATGGGGAATCTTGTTTCTCTTGACATGTCATATAGCAACATTGAATCATTTGTCGGTTGTTATAGCAATCCACAACGGCTTGAGAAGAGGCAAAAGGTTACTTATCTTCATTCATTATTTATCTATGATGAGTTGATGAAATTGACTGTTATGCTAACTTATTTCCACTTTTTTGCAGTTGGATGGATCATGCTTAAAAGATAAAAAGTTGCTCGTATCATTGAAGATTTTGAATTTAAGTTTCTGTAAACAACTTCGTAGTCTTGGTGAATTTGACCAACTTCCTGCACTTGAGAGGTTAATAGTTAGAAATTGCATTGGTTTGCTTGAGGTTTGTGAATCAATTGAGCGATGCGTTGACCTTGTCCTTATTGATCTGAGCTACTGCAAGAAGCTTGAAAAACTTCCAAGAAACATAGGCATGTTAAAGAATGTTAAAACACTGTTGCTGGATGGTTGTAATCTTAGTGGTTCTCAAATCGAGAATAGGGATATGGAATCACCAGAAATTTGCAAGGCTAACAACATGGTCATAAACATAAGAACCTCTTCCTCTGCTTTTATGGGTTCTATACCAAGTGATTTGAAGTTGTTTGCAATATCTTTACCCAGGTCTTTAGTAACTTTGTCACTGGCAAATAACAATTTGTCCACTGAATCCTTTCCCATGGACTTTAGTGGCCTATCCATGTTAAAGGAGTTATATTTAGATGGCAATCCTATTGCTTCCATGCCTAGTTGTGTGAGAACTATTCCAAGGCTTGAGATACTTAGCATGCAGAACTGTGAAAAATTGAAGTCGGTTGAGCATCCTCCACGTACACTAAGCCGGTTGTTGCTCTTTTCTCATGGGCGTTCTATAGATAAAGTTGTATTTGATTCAGAAATGTCCCCACTCAAGTTATCACCATTCCGGATAGCTTGGCCATTCGAAATTGAAGGCATGATCAAAATCCAACCAATGGTATGTGTTGAGGAAAAGGTATTACGTAGCTTGGGCTGGACTAATCAAGAATTCATTAACAAAAGGCTCATGGGAACTAATTCTTCGGAATTTGAAATAGAGGTTTTGTCTAGTTAACTCTCTATCTTTATGTGAATATGTATAATACAAATATTATGGAGATTAATTAAAATGGTTGTATTGACAGATGATGTATGAATTTGGAATATTCAGCACATTGTATGAGGCGGAGGAGATGCCTAGTTGGTTTAGGCATAGAAGCTTGGGGCCATCAATATCATTTACCATCCCATCATCATCTCCAAAGAATCTCCTCACAGGACTCAATTTCTGCTCTTTGCACACAATGAAACCTACAGATGAGTGGCCTCTATTTCCAGATGATGTTCTGTTCCCTTTTTCTTCAATGATGACAATTAGTAATATAACAAAGAACCTCATGTGGATATACGAACGTCGAAAGGACAGATATATTCCAAATCAAAAGTGTTGGGTGTTGTTAAGTCATTGGATGTTTGGGAGGAATGAGATGGAGGCTGGTGACCACGTTACTATTACTGTTACAGATCAAAATGATGAACTTACAAAGGAGTGTGGGGTGAGTCTTGTGTATAATGATGGAGAAAAAGGAGAAGAAGATGCATTGAGTTATTACAAGTCGTGGAATCACATAATTGGTGGAGATCTCTCTCATTTTCAAACAACAACAGGACAATACATCCTACTCAACAGACGGTTTTTTATGTATGGCATTTACTTGTCTCCCTATCATCGTAAATTCATTACAGATGGCCCCGACTATCAAGGTACATGTCATTTTTATTAAATTTATTATTTTCGTATCCTATGATCCAAATCCACCCATTTATTTTTTGATTTTATTGACTTATAAGATAAGATTTTTGTTTTAATAAATTATGTATAAAAAATAAATGTTCTACTTTTAATTTTTATATGAATCGAAACATGTATTGATCCGTCATCCGTCTAAATGGGTGGATCTGTTATGTCAGTTGACTATGTCTTTTGATATGTTGGACCATAAATATATTTACGCTCAATACAACTTTTGTTCAGAACAAAAGAAAGGGTCCTGGTTCAGAGCTTTATCTCAAAGGAATCCTGGCATAATTGGTAACTCACGTAAGGTATACTTTTTCACATCCAAGCCTTTCTGTCATATGACAGAATAAAAAGGGATACACAACCAAATATGTTATCATTATATCTCTGTATGGTTATGTAACTAGTAAAATTTTCATACTTTTCCTTTATTCATAGGGTAAGGGGGAATCTTCAAGGTCTCACCCTTCATGTGAAACTACTTGAGAAAGAGAGGCTGCATCTAACTGAACTACTCTAAATCAAAATAGATGCATTTTAATTTTCCAGAAGCATTAAGATGGTTTGATCGTTGTAGAATCTGGTACCCATTTATGTTATGGGTTTTTGTTTTCATATCTTTATTATTATTATTATTTTTATTTATGTATCTTGAATTACGAAAGATAGGTGAAAACAATATGAATGGTTTTTGAGCTTAGTTAACACACGTGTAAGGAATATGATTCAAGTCGTCATGCTGTTTTGATTACTTTGTATATTCAATATTATGTTGACTTGGTTTATGTGATTGAAGAAAAAACCAAATTAATACACATGTAATTGCTAGAGTTCCGAAATTAATACACACGAATTAAGAGCTATTAACAATCGCACCATCTTTTTCTTATTATTATTTTTTACTGGTGTTCATTATTATGCTTGTTGATTCGATTTGTACCATTTTTAAATTGTTGTTACAAGGTACGACATGAAACTTATTGGTAAAATTATCTTTTGTAAATTTGTTTAAGTTAGTAAACATGAAAGAGTGAACTTTTTTGAAGATGTTAAATTAATGAAATTATGTTTTTTCTACGAATAGGTTTTATTCAATGTGCAAAATCCTAACAGAGAAAAAAAAAATGATATAACTTTCGGATTTGTGTGCACGTTCATGGCATCAGCCCTACATTCGTTAGGTATTCGTTAATGTAATTATGGTTTCTAAGGGCAACATTCATCACTATGTTATTGAATAATAGTAGTCTATCCAGTGACAAGTTTTGTAGGATTTTTTTAGTGATAAGAATGAAAAGAGCAAACATGTTTTTATTTACTGTAAAAGTATTACATTGGACGAATGTGTCCAATGGTCCGTCCCAACGGCTAAACACAATACAAAATCGTCATGTCCTGTGTGTGTAACAAATGAGACCTAAATGGACTTAAGTATATTCGTTATGCTTTTGTCACATAAATATAATTTTAATTATATCAGCAAAAGTTCATGCTATAAACCCAAAAAAAAAAGTTTGTAAGAATTTTAGGAAGTGATCAACAAATTGTAAGCTTTCAAATCAAAATAAATAAATAAATAAAATAAACAAAAAGTCCGAAGCACTTATATGAGATGACACATGATGAGCCTGAAAATATTTTTGTTATAATTGCGGCCATTGTAACAACCACTTAGGGTGGGCGAAGTCGAAGGAAATATGTAGCTGGGTGCCGGCGGTACCGCCGACTGCACCATTTCTTGGTGGAGCGGTACCACCAAAAAGGTGGAATCTCAAGTTACCTTTTGAATATGTAGCTGTTGTTCTCTCCTCTTCATTTGTATCATATGCTATAAAACTTGTACCAATGTGTATGGGTTGGGAGGTATGGATTTCCAAGATTGTGGGTTGGGTAGCAGTAATATAATTTAGAGTCACGCTACATGCAAGAATTGTAAACGTACTTTATGAATACCTTTTGAATTAAGATAAAGAAGTGATGGAGTACTTGTATTCTAATAAGGAACAACCAATTGTTAGCATCGGAAATCATAACGATCAACGGCCAAATAAATAGATGTACATTTTTACATTGGACGCGCACACACACACCGGATTATACCAAAAAATCCACTCTTTACAAAAAAACTCACCACTATTTTTCGTTTAAAATTTTTTAGGCCATGTTTTTTATCAAAAAAAAAAAAAAAAAAAAAAAAAAAAAAACCAGAATATACCGTCGTTCACGATTTTTTGTTCTCTTTCCATAAAGATCCATGATGATATATATAAAAAATGAACTTTTTTTTTTCAAAAAAAATCCACTTCATTTTCTTTAATGAAAAAAAGGTAAGGTCTATTTTTTATAGAAAAAAATTAATAAATATATCAAAATTCATATTTTTTGTACTTTTTAAACATAGATTCATATTCATGTTAAAAAAAAAACGATATTTCAGTTCAGATTCACATTGTGAATTTGTTCAGATTCATATTCTAAACCTGTTCAGATTCACATTGTAAATCTCCTCAGATTCACAGTGTGTATAATAATAAATCAGATTCACAGTGTGAATCTGAACTGATCGGAGCTTTTACACATTATGAATGTTAAAATTTGAAATATTTACAGTTTAGGTTCAAAATGTGAATCCACACTGATAGAGGTTTTTTTTTTTTTTTTTTTTTGGTGAACCTTTATTAGATTCACAATGTGAATCTAAACTGTTCGAGATTTTTCATATTGTGAATGTTAAAAATTGAAATATTTACCTTTTAGATTCACAGTGTGAATCTACACTGTTCGAGGTTTTTTTTGTATTTTTATTTTTTTAAAATCTATGTTGATGTTTATTAATAGAGTACAAAAAATTAATATTTTTGGTATAATTAGTTTTTTTTATATAAAAAAAGGCTTAAATATTCAAAAAAAAAAAAAGAAAATTAAAGGGGTTTTTTTCGAAAAAGAAACTCGTTTTTTATATATCATCATGGATCTCTATGGAAAGAGCACGAAAAATTGTGAATAACGGTATATTAGGATTTTTTTTCGATAAAAAGCTTGGCCTAAAAAAATTTTAAATGAAAAAAAGGAAGTGAATTTTGTTATAATATGATACATGTGCGTCCATTATAAAAATTTACAACCTTTCATTTTTCCGTTGATTGCTTTAAATTCAACGCTTTGGATTGGTTCCTTGGTTCCTTGAATAATAATGGTTATATATATATATATATATATATATATATATATATATATATATATATATATATATATATATATATATATATATATATATATATATATATATATATATATATAGGAGTAGGATGAATTGAGAACACCAAAAAGATTAAGAATGCGAGAACAGATCTGAGCCATTTAAATCTTAAAAATCAAAGGTTCATATTAATGTGTCATTTATGTAAATTACAAGATTTGTGGAACCAAATTCAAATTTACATTTACATTTATGTAAATTACAAGGGTAGTAATGGAATTTCCATTTTATGGTTCCATAAAATCAGCTTAATTATTTTGGTCATGGCATCATTCTTTCTTTCTCTCTCTCTCTCTCTCTCTCTCTCTCTCTCTCTCTCTCTGTCTCTCTGTCTCTCGCTCTCTCTCTCTCTCTCTCTCTCTCTCTCTCTCTCTCTCCCTCCCTCTAACTAAATTAGGGTTTTAACCAATTGAAGATGAAAATACGCCTCCATCCAATGCCGTCCTACATTCGTGAGAACCAGACCTTTCAACATTCCAGGGTTGTTGGCTGTTAGACCTCCTCTGTCGAAAGAAGATAAATGGAATTGACGAGGAAGGAGAGCTAGGTCTTGCCTCCAGCAATGCAACAGTTCGATCGATTTCAATCGTTCTCAGTGCGTAGTATGTTTTCCAGTGGCCACAATGGCTCCGGTAATCAGTGACAAAACCGGCACAGAAACCTCAAGTCTCCGTCGATCTACGATTTTTCAAGTTTTCTGGTGATTTTTCGATCTCAGGAGGCGTGTCTAGAGAAGAGGGTAAGCCTTTTCGATCGAGTTTTCTTGTTATTGCCACATTCTTCATATTTTATAATACACGACTTATCTACCATCCCGTATGCTTTAATCATTCAATCTCATTCTATTTTTCTCAATTTTGATGATGGTGGATGGGTTATCATCAATTGTGTTCATTATAATCACTTATGATTGCAAATTGTGTTCGTTATAATCACTTATGTGTTCATCAATTGTGTTCGCTAGTGCAATGGGCTTCTTCCAAACTTCATGACAGTGAATTGTTGGATGAAATGGTTAAAGAAGGCATCGGGAAGACAATTCCCCAAAGGTTCTTTCGCAATTTGTTGATATTGTGTCGCTTATGCATATATGATTATCAAGATGAACTAAAAGGAATTGATTAGTTTGTAAACGACAGTTGATGATTGTTATAATGCTATATAGTTGATGACTGTTATAAAGTTATAATCATTTATGATTGTAAACATGGTTGTATATATCATTAAAAGACACCGATAGTAATCATTTATAATTTGAACTATGGCAATATAAATGATTAGAAAATTGATTATAATCATATCATTTATTATTATAACACCACATGATTTTGCTACTAATCATTTATTTTAATATTTTATTGATCTTATTATTGTATTTACATGTTATTGACATTTTGTAGGTATTTGTCAAAGAAAAAGGAACATTATCACTTTTTAGGTATCATTGACGCTCGTTACACTAGTAGCCATTTTTTGTCCAAATAGAAGGAGGTTGCAACCGATTCAAGAAAATGGCCGACATATTGATGAATTTTTCAATATTATTTTTTCTTTTGGAGTGGTTAATCATTGTTGAATATAATCATGTATAAATGTATGAAACTAGTATTGACATATTCATTTATGAATATATTCTTTTGGAGTTAGTTAATCATTGTTGAATATAATCATGTATAAATCTATGAAACTGATATTGGCATATTCATTTATGAGTATAAGTATAAATATATAAACTCAGTATTTAGAAATTTTATTTAGGATAATAACAAAGTTTAATAATAAATATAACTTATTTATTTTTTACTTTTTTTATAAATAAAATTTTTTATCATTAAATTGTTTTCATTCATTTATTATTACAACTTTATAGTTTTATAATTACAAACGTGTTTTACTCATTTATAATTAAATTTAAAAAAAATTAATAAAAATTATTTTGTCATATACTAATAAAAAAATAAAATAAAATTCGGTTAATCTATTATTTTAAGTAAGACAAAACTGCACAAATGGTCCTTGTGGTATGTCGAAAATTGTTACTTTGGTCCAAAAAGGTTCTGACTAGCACCAGTGGACCAAAAGTTTGATTTTGTTGCCACTTTGGTCCAATTTGCTTTGAACTTTTTTATAATGACCATTTTTCCCTTACTTTAATTTTTATGTTTATTTATTTATTTAAATATATTAAAATAAAAACGAATAAGAAAACTTCAACCCATTTTTTCTTCCCATCTCTCTCTCTCTCTCTCTATCTCTCTCTTTCTCTCTCTACTTCTCTGATTTTTTTATAAAAAGGAATGTAACATAACCACCATCGGCTAACGGAAAAATATGAATAACCACCACTTGTCGGAAACCACTGCCACTAGCCGAGCACCATCACAACCAGTTCAACACCACCGCCAGCATGTTTTTAGGCAACATGTAAACGAAGCCGTCAGAGAGAGAGAGAGAGAGAGAGAGAGAGAGATGGGAAGAGATA